TCTGTGCATCCCTCCAATGCAGTGTTCTGTGTCCAGTGAATCCGTAATAATTATTAATTGATGAGGGTGCTTTCTCAGTCTGAATGCTTAACACATGCTCTCTGAATATGATGGGTGTTGCAGCATATTTTAATTAAATCCTGACAACTTTAATTCTGATTGCTCATTCTAATACTCTTGAGCTGCTAACACCAAGCTAATGACTTGCTCATTCTGGAAGATATTAGTAGCAGGGTACTGCCTTTTAGACAAACATCACATCATAATAATTAAAATATGATATTTCTTGAAATGAACTCCTTTAAAGTGATTTCTATTCCACAAACACACACACAGATGCAAGCATATATGTGTCAACATGCTCAAGAATTTACAACACCTTAGAGAAGCTCTGTCCATTTCTTTCCAAAATGAAACGTTTTTTTGTTGACATGATGATAGACTCCTTACAAGGTTCAGGGGAAATGTGTATTTCCACTGATCAATTTCTGAGTTTCCCAGAAGAGGGGAGCCAGAGAGAAATCCTGAAAACTAATGACGGTGGGAGCAGAGTGTATTTGTACTTTATTGTGCCAATCAGAGCCTAAACCACTGAATCAGAGAAAGAGACAAAGGAAAATCTAATTGTGTGGGAAAGGTGGCGGGAGGACAGCTGAGCAGGTGCGAGAGATGGTATCTGAGTACACAAAGAGATGAGATAATTTGGAGAGAGGATCCAGGAAGCAAATATAATATACTGGGTTAACTCATTGCTCTCACAGAGTGAACATCTCTTGTGCTCAAGGCATCGGAGAGCTGACAAGTTAGCTGCCGGCCATACACCCATGGTGCTTGCCTTAGTGCATGATTCTAACCAGAGGTTCACTCTTGGACTTTAGTGGGGACTGTGAACCCCCGAAACTATATGCAAAAGTTTGTGTTATGGGGACTTCCCTGGCAGTCTAGCGGTTAAGATGCCATGTTCCCAATGCAGGAAACAGGGTTTCCATCCCTGGTCGGCGAACTAAGATCCCACATACAACATGGTGCAGCCAAACCCTCCACCCTAAACAAAAAACTGCATGTTTATAGATACACATGAGTGTGGGCAGAAATAGAGCAGCACAGTTCTCAACCTCTCCTCCCCTCTGGGACAAAATATATAGCAAGGACCTCATTTTCTAAGACTTCAATTCAGTTCAGTTGCTCAGTCGTGTCCGACTCTTTGCGACCCCATGGACTGCAGCATGCCAGGCTTCCCTGTCCCTCACCAACTCCTGGAGTTTGCTCAAACTCATGTCCATTGAGTCGGTGATGCCATCCAACCACCTCATCCTCTGTCGTCCCATTCTCTTGCCTTCAATCTTTCCCAGCATCAGGGTCTTTTCCAACGTGTCAGTTCTTCAGATCAGGTGGCCAAAGTATTGGAGTTTCAGCTTCAGCATCAGTCCTTCCAATGAATATTCAGGATTGATTTCCTTTAGGATGGACTGGTTTGATCTCCTTGCTGTCCAAGGGACTCTCAAAAGTCTTCTCCAACACCACAGTTCAAAAGCATCAGTTCTTCGGTGCTCAGCTTTCTTTATAATCCAACTCTCACATCCATACATGAGTACTGGAAAAACCATAGCTTTGACTAGATGGATCTTTGTTAGCAAAGTAATGTCTCTGCTTTTTAATATGCTGTCTAGGTTGGTCATAGCTTTTCTTCCATGGAGCAAGCGTCTTTTAATTTCATGGTTGCAGTCACCATCTGCAGTGATTTTGGAGCCTCCCAAAATAAAGCCTGTCACTGTTTCCATTGCTTTCCCATCTATTTGCCATGAAGTGATGCCATGATGTTAGTTTTCTGAATGTTGAATTTTAAGCCAACTTTTTCACTCTTCTCTTTCACTTTCATCAAGAGGCTCTTTAGTTTTTCTTCGATTTCTGCCATAAGGGTGGTGTCATCTGCATATCTGAGGTTTTTGATATTTCCCCCAGCAATCTTGATTCCAGCTTGTGCTTCATCCAGGCCAGCATTTCTCATGATGTACTCTGAATATAATTTAAATAAGCAGAGTGACAATACACAGCCTTGACATACTCCTTTTCCTGTTTGGAACCAGTCTGTTGTTCCATGTCTGGCTCTAACTGTTGCTTCTTGACTTGCATACAGATTTCTCAGGTGGCAGGTACGGTGGTCTGGTATTCCCAACTCTTGAAGAATTTTCCACAGTTTGGTGTGATCCACAAAGTCAAAGGCTTTGATGTAGTCAATAAAGCAGAAGTAGATGTTTTTTCTGGAACGCTCTAGCTTTTTCTATGATCCAATGGATGTTGACAATTTGATCTCTGGTTCCTCTACCTTTTCTAAATCCAAGTTGAACATCTGAAAGTTCACGGTTCACATACTGTTGAAGCCTGGCTTGGAGAATTTTGAGCATTACTTTGCTAGAATGTGAGATGAGTGCAGTTGTGCGGTAGTTTGAGCATTCTTTGGCATTGCCTTTCTTTGGCATTGTGTCAAAACATGTTATGGAGTTTGCCTTCTCTACTCTTCCCCTGGCAAGGATGAATAAACTGAAGCCATAACCAAAACCAGCCAACAGACACAGATATTTTTCTTCACTTTTGTAAAGTTAAATAGTATCTTCTGCAAAAATCTTAAAAAACAAAAACAACTCCCCAAAGATTTTTAAAAAGACCATTTAAAATAGTGAACTATAGGACACAGTTCTTTGACAAGTTCTTGGCAACAGGGTGATGTCATTGGGGACAATTTGAATGGAACCCTTGCTGATCCTTGCTTGATTCTATGCAAAGACTCCTCAAGTGGGGGATGGAAGTGTAGGTCACAGTTTCATCAGAAACTTTCTCAGCACATCCTCCTCACAGTTAAGCTCTTCTGAGTGTTTATTGTAAGCTGAGCAATATTTCAAAAGCTTTGCCTGCAAGGTGTTATAAATCCCACAGCTATTTTATAAAGATAGGTATTATTACTAGGGGCCTCCCAGGTGGCACGAGTGGTAAAGAACCCACCTACCAAAGCAGGAGATACAAGAGATGCAGGTTCGATCCCTGGGTCAGGAAGATCCCCTGGAGGAGGGCATGGCAACCCATACCAGTATTCTTGCCTGGAGAATCCCATGGACAGAGGAGTCTGGTGGGCTACAGTCCATGGGGCTGCAAAGAGTCAGACACGACTGAAGCAACTTGGCATGCATGCATGCATCATTACTAGACCTAATTTACAGATGAGAAAACTGAGGCTCAGTGAGACTCAATGAATGTTTTACAATTCCACACCTAGACGTTTCCTGTTATCTCTACCCCTTTGCCTTAGGAAACACTATAAATGGCCACACTAGAAAAGTAAGGTAGAAAATGAAACTCTATAAACCCAAGACAATAAAACTCCTTTCTTATGGGGCTATTAATGTCTCTGAGTGTGTCAGACATCCTGAGCAGATTCAGGGTTTGCATTTTTTGACAGCAACATCACAGAAGTCATGCTGTGATCTGTGCCTCACATCAGGGGGTGGGTTGTCCTATACTGGTGATTTGACCTTGATCTCCTGTTAGCATGGTGTCAGCCAGGTTTCTTCACTGCGAAGTTATTATTCCCTACCCACTCCCTCACTGACATTATTGAATTAAAAAACTTTATGATAAAATATATATATAACCTAAAATGACCACTTTAACCATTTGACGTGTCCAGTTCTGTAGCATTAAGTCCATTCTCACTGCTGTGCAACTGTCACTACCATGCTCAGAACCTTTCCATCTTCCCAAACTGAAATTATGTCCTCTGAACAATGATTACCCCTTCCCCCTTCCACAGCTCCTGGCAACCACTATCCTACTCTCTCTATGAATTTGACTCTTCTAGGTACTTCACATAAGTGGAATGAGACAGTATTTATCATTTTGTGTCTGACTCATTTCACTCAGTATAGCATCTTTAAGCTTCATCCATGTTATGCGTCTGTGCATGCTCAGTGGCTTCAGTCATGTCCCATTCTTTGTGACCCTATGGACTGCAGTCCACCAGGATCCTCTGTCCCTGAAAGTCTCCAGGGAAGAATACTGGATTGGGTTGCCATGCCCTCCTCCAGGGGATCTTCCCAACCCAGGGACCAAGTCGGAGTATCCTGTGTCTCCTGCACTGCAGGTGGATTCTTTACCGCTGAGCCAGTGGGGATGCCCTCACCCACACTGTGGTATGTGTCAGAACGTTCTTCCTTTTTAAGACTGAGTAAATGTTCCCTTGTGTGTATATGCCACATGTTAATGAACTCACCCCAGGATGGACACTTGGGTTGCTTCCACCTTTTGGCTCTTGTGGATAATGCTGCTACAAACTTGGGTGTACAAATAATGAATACCTTTTTCAGACCCTACTTTTCCTTCTTTTGATTATATAGCCAGAACGGAAACTGCTGGCTTATTACTTTTTCCTTCTTAATTAGCAAGTTTCTTGAGGGGTGCAACGTTGAGACTATATAACTATGCTGCTATTTCTGGCCCTTTCACCCCCAGCACCTTCAGTTCCTATCTGAATCAATAATTAATCTAACAGTTGCCAAGTAGTAATTTTCTTTCCATCATTCATTCTGCATTTATTAGCTGGCATTCTACTGTAGGGAAGAAATTTCCCTTCTCCCCCATTGATTTACGAATATGGAAGGATTTTATTCAATCCTTTACACCACGGACCCTTTATTGCTCTGAGCAATTCATTTCCATATGACTCCCAAGAGTGCAAGTTTGGGGAAGTGAGGGAACTTTCTATATTTCCTTGTTACCATGAAGAAAGCCAAGAGCGCAGCCCGACTTCCCTAAATTCAGGTGATCGCTTTCCTGCCCACGCGTTCCTTTAAAGTGGAAATCCTCTCTCCCAGGGTGGTCTCACAAACCTCCCGAACGGCCCAGTCCCGCGAGAACTACATTTCCCAGAGCCCTTCTAGCGCCTGCGTCATCAGCGGGCGCGTCTTTTTGCTCGCCGGTTTTGAAGAGCCGGCTGTGGCGGCGGCAACATGGCGGACGTGCTAAGTGTTGGTGTCAACCTGGAGGCCTTTGCCCAGGCCATTAGTGCCATTCAGGCGCTCCGCTCTAGCGTGAGCAGGGTGTTCGACTGCCTGAAGGATGGCATGCGGAACAAAGAGACGCTGGAGGGCCGGGAGAAGGCCTTCATTGCGCACTTCCAGGACAACTTGCATTCGGTCAACCGGGACCTCAAGTAGGTACCGGCTGAAGGGGCGGGGGTTCGGGGACCTCCTACCCTGTCCCACCCCCGCGGGAGTCTCCTTAGTCGCGGGCTGCTCTTTCTTTTCGTTGCTCCCTCTCTTTCCTCTCCAAGTCTCTCCCTGCCCCTCAGGGCCTCCTCCTCTTCCACCACCGCTTTGTCGTCTCCCTTCTCTTGGCGTCCTGCTCTTGGCTGACTCCCGCCGCCCAGGACCTCCTCTGTGGTCCTTCCATTCCTTACGAGGGGACGTGCTCTTCCCATGAACTTCCACTCGTCTTCTTGGCTCGTCAGGGTTCCCACCTGTGGGCCCTCTGGGCTCCACCACCTCTGATCAAATAGTACCAAAAGACCTGCTCAGCGTTGCCCCAGAGTCAAGTGTATTCCACCTAATTGGCCACAGGTTTTCCTCCCTGAACCTGGAGTTCATCAGTTCCAGTCCCTACCCGACCCCCAAACATGATGAAACAGGCTTCTTTCTCTTTTCTCCTACCCGACCCCCTAGCCACCTGACCACTATTTTCACTCCCACTCTCACTGCTTCTGTTAAGTTCTGCGTCTAAAGAGACCTCATCACAGGCTTAACCAGCTCAATGACTTCTGCTTAAATGCCTCATCCCCACCCCCACCCTGGGCCTCCCAACAAAAGCTAATTTGTGGTCCTTCAAGGTTAAGGATTGTATATTTCTTTCTCTTTCTTAACAGGTCAACTTCTTCTACTTTATCAGTGAAATGAAGTGAGAGGATGCTTGTAAGATGCCTGGTACATAAAAGGCAGTTTTTAATAGGTTCTGGTCATGTGCCCTCCCATCCTTATGAGAGTCAGACCTTCTCAGGGAGGTTAGAATTGCAGGATTTTTGTCTTTTACTTCTCAACACTGACCTTAGCAGGCGAATCATTGGGTGAGCTACTCATCCTGTGATTTCTGGAGTGGCTGGATTTTTTTTTTTTTTTTCAGTCTCCTCAACTTGGTCTCCTTAGTAACCAGATGGAAGGAGGAGGTAGAATGGAAGAGGAGGTGGTGACCAAATGATGGGAGCCTCTTTTTATTTATTTATTTTTCCTCTAAGTAGTTGCCATTCTTCTTCTGGGGGAGAGCCAGGAGGGCACAGCCCCTCCTCACTCCCACACTTACTTTCTGTTCTCTGGTGAAGTTCCAGCTAATACTTGCCCCGCCTGAGTCTGGATGCTGGTGGTTCTTCCCTTTCTTTCTTCTCCTCTTTAGTTGGCTTTCCTTGGTAATGTGCAGGGTGTTGAAACCCGTCAGCATTGTAGAAAGTTTAATAAGAGTGTTGGTCTCACCCTGCTGTCTTCATAGATCTGTAGACAGCAGTGTGAAGAGAAAAGTGGCTGAAGAGTCCAAGATGAACATGGCATGAGAAGCTGTTCCTAAGGTCTTATGTTGACCCCCTGGGACTGGCCCCTCAGAACGCGCTCCTGAATGTGCTTTTGCTGTTGGCTCTCTTTCCCAAGCTGCTCTAGGGGTTTTTTTTCCTGCTACACTGAAGTGTGTTTGTTTGACACAGCCCCCTCTGTGGTGTCTCCCCATTTGTTTATTTTATCTCTTTTTTGTTAAGTTTTACCATCTGTGAAGCACCATGTACAAATCTCTCTCTGTGAATGGTAAATAATCATCATTTATTCAGGTACTTGTTGTACTGCCAAATAGAATGATTTGTGTGTGGATCTGAAAACTCTTAGTGAGAAGCAGTGTTATACCTCATTTTGAAATTCCAGAAGGCCCTCCCCTCCCCCAGCCTTGCAAAGAATGATTTGAGTTGTTCAATCCTAATTTTAGGAGTCCTGTTGATTTCATTGCTCTTAACCTTTGTTCTCCTCTGGAATGGTGCTAGAGAGCTCAGTTGTAAAATAGAATAAGCACCCACCTAGGTCTCTCAAGTGGCTCTTGTCACCTTCTTCTTTTTAATATTTATTTATTTACTTGGGATCTTCATTCCATCACGTGGGACCTTTCAGTGCAGCACTCGGACCTTCCATTTTGTGCTCAGGCTCAGTTGTTGTGAGTGGGTTTAATTGCTCCTCAGCATGTGGGATCTTAGTTCCCTGACCAGGGATTGAACCCGCGTCCCCCACATTGCAAGACAGATTGTTGAGCGCTGGACCACTAGGGAAGCTCCTGGCCCTTGTTTTCTTAACCTTTCAGAAAGTATTTCTTCTTAAGGGACTTAAACTTATGATGAGCAGTTTGAAGAACAGTCTTGGACCCTGTCGTAGGCTAAGAACTGGAGTTTCAGTGGACTCAGGTTTATTTGCTGCATTTGTTTACTTTTCAGTGAGCTGGAACGTCTGAGCAACTTGGTGGGCAAGCCTTCTGAGAACCATCCTCTCCATAACAGCGGGCTGTTAAGTCTGGATCCCGTGCAGGACAAAACCCCTCTGTACAGTCAGCTCCTCCAGGCCTATAAATGGTCAAACAAGGTAAGGGGGATATGTCAGAAATGAAGCTAATACAGGAAAAAGCAAGCTTTCTTACATTTCGTAAAGGCAGAAAGTGAGGGTAAGTTTTTCTTTCCTTTTTTTGTTCTTGATTTGGCATGGGGTTACAGAGTTGGAAGTTTTAGACTGTCCCTGGGAGAGATTATATAGTCCTCTCAAGTCTCAGAAATTAATCATGATGCTCAGGTAATTACATTTTTAAAAAAGTTCAAACTCAAGTGTGTTTAACTGGGAAACTGGGTTAGAGAGCAGTTTTTATGAACCCCATGAAATCACATGCAAAGTGTTATGCTGTGTGTGTGTGTTTCTCTGGGAAGGACTTCCTAGCTTTCATCAGATCATCAGAGGGGTTCCTGACGCCCAGGAGGTGAAGGACTGGTGGTCTGTGAGTGCAGCTGCTCACTTTGTTTTTGTTGCTTGGCCTGCCTTCCCCGTTGTTGATGGAACATCTCTAGAGGACTGTTTGATAAATCACTCTTATTGTCCTTTTTTTCCATATATTTTTAAAAATTGAAGTATGGTTGATTTATAGTATCATATTAGTTTCAGGTGCATACATATCTATCTATGTATATATTCTTCAGATTTTCTCACTCATCGGTTATTACAAACTATTGAAAATAGTTCTCTATTCTATAGAGTAAGTCCTTGCTGATTATCTATTTTTTATATAGTAGTGCGTGCTCATGGAGAAGGCAGTGGCGACCCAGTCCAGTACTCTTGCCTGGAAAATCCCATGGATGGAGGAGCCTGGTAGGCTGCAGTCCATGGGGTTTCGAAGAGTCAGACATGACTGAACGACTTCACTTTCACTTTTCACTTTCATGCATTGGAGAAGGACATGGCAGCCCACTCCAGTGTTTTTGCCTGGAGAATCCCAGGGACAGTGGAGCCTGGTGGGCTGCTGTCTGTGGGGTCGCACAGAGTTGGACATGACTTAGCAGCAGCAGCAGTGCATGCTCAGTTGCCCAGCTGTGTCTGACTCTTGGCAACCCTGTGAACTGTAGCCTGCCAGGCTCCTCTGTCCACGGAATCCTCCAGGCAAGAATACCAGAGTCGGTTGCCATTTCCTACTCCATACATATAGTAGTGTGTATATGTTAATCCCAACCTCCTAATACTCTCTTCTCTAACTACTCTGCACCCGTCTGCAGGCGATTGCTCTAAACGCTCTCTGTTGTTCAGTTGCTCAGTCTTGTCTGACTCTTGCGACCCCACGGAAGGGCACACTCTCCATAAAATTTGCTATTCGCGGTAGCCCCGTGGCGGAGACCCTGGGACAGCTGTGAAAGGAGAACCAAGTTGGAGTGTAAAAATAACAGGAACAATTAGGCTCATAAGCCTGGCAGCAGTTAGTTTGTTTACTCACAGGTTCCTCTTGTTTGGGTGCTGTGGGTTGCTGTGTTGTGCTTTGTTTGCTTTTCTGCTGCTGATGGAAAGCTAGAGTATATGTTTGGAACGATTTTGGAAGCTTTTCTCACTAGGCTGCTGCTCCCTGGAGAGAATTGTTCCTAGCGTTACTGATTGTGATCCGCCCTTCCCCCTCCAGTTACCCATCGTCCTTCTCCTCTTTTCACTCTCGGGTCTCAGGTGACAGATGAACCGTGGTAGTGTTTCTGGTGTGTAGAATTATTCCTTTGAATTTGTCTGTGGGAGTATCTGACATCCTTTGGTCTGCAGTGGGACCCAGGCAGCTGCATCCGAGACGCAGGGAGAAGCGATTTATCGTGGGGCACTAGAGCAGGAGCTTGAACCTGGGAGGCGTGCATGTAGCTGTAAGGGCTGTCCTCCAGCCTTGGACTGCTGTGGACAGAAACCCACTTCAGCCCTGAGCCTCAGGTGCCCAGGTGGCGTGGGGACCGGTCACTCTCCTGCCCTCTGCATGCCCGCTTCCCAGTGTTGGCCTGGTGTCTCCGAGTGGTGGAAAAGACAGTCTGGCAGCTGTAGGCTTGTGTGGTCCTTCTACCGGGCAATCGCCAGGTGTCCACGCCAGATGCTGAAAACGGATCTGGCCCTGTCTGGTAGGGGCCCCTGTCTACCCAGACAGCTTGTTGAGCTCAGCGGGTGGGATTCTCTGATTGCCCAGCGCAGATGAGCTGAAACGCAGGGAGTGGGGCTGTGTGGATAGAGGCGGGAGAGGGTGCAGGACAGACACAGAGTCAGAGCTGTCTGGGGCAGTTGCCAGGGCCAGACACCAGGCTGTTCAGGCCCCACACAGACAACACTGCCCGCTCAGGCTGTCCTGTGTGAGCTTCCTTGTTTCCCAGGGGCTTGCGTGGGCTTCTCTGCATGAGTTCACTTGGTGACTGGGTGGGATCTGATGTGTAGGTGACTTATTTCTGGTTGGACGCCTGGTCTTGCCTTTTGGATGTGGAAGCTGTGTTGATGTATCATGTGGGTAATGTTCTCAGAATAGGCTCAAGTGGTGGAGACTTCTCAGCGGTGGGAAGATTTAGGCTGATCTCGAAGCTGCGAGTGCCCGAGATGCCAGTGGAAATGGCTGGTTTTAAATCAAAGTGATGACACTTACCATTTGAGTGAAGGTAGTTTTATTTGCCCAGTTTAATAGAATATTAAGCTAGAAGTCCCTGTTTCTCCCCTCTCAGATGCAAAGGAAGATGTGTTAGGGGAAAGAAGCAGTATGTATGTGGAAATCCTTGTCCTGGAGAAGCTGCAGGTTAAAACTCGATGTAGAAATGTGTCAGAGTGTAAGCCCCGCCCGAGTAGTGTGAGTGGTATCTGGGTTTCAGTCACGTCCTGGCCTGGTGCATGTTGCGAAGTCACTGTTCTTTCACTGGCTCTCTATGCCCAGCAGGGAGGGCATTTTGGACCTCTGTACCATTTCTCGGCAAAATAAGGAAAATTAGTCAGAGATGTTCAGCTTATCCCCGTGTTTTATTGCCAAGCAGGTCAAGGCCCCATGAAGCACCCTGCCCACGGCCTCATAGCTAGACTAGAATTCGCCTCTCCTGACTTAGCCCAGTGTTCTTTCCTCTAAAACTTGATGCTGTAATCCCGTCTGGCTTAAGGTTTTGACTGTACTAAACATTTTCCCCTCCCTTTAATCTTCTTGTCAGGAGCAATTCATGTGTTATATTTTATTCATGAATCTGTATCACGTTTTACTCATTTTTAGTGGTTTGCTGAAGGGTGGAGATAGCAAATACATGGCCCCTGGTCCTCAAACTGTCGCTCTTGTCCAGGGCAGACATCGCTAATCACCCTCTGCATTCTTTCCTGCTGAGGCTCCCTCTGCACTCTCAGCTCTGTCTTGGGGCTCAGCGGCCCCTGCCAGTTATCTAAAGTGGGCTGCAGAGAAGACATGTTTTTTATTTCTGTTATGGTACATAATGTGCTGTTTGGCTATTGCTTATTTATACTGTCCTTACTCTAGAAGGATTTGAAATCTGTTATAAGAAAGCTGTACTTTGACCTTGAAAGAAAAGAGGAAAACGAGGGTAAGGATGCCTAGGTACATGTCTTTAATAAACTCAAGAAGTAGCCCCAAGAAATAAACCAGTATTCTAATTTCCAAGTGGGATTATGGAAGCAGGAAGCAATGATAGGTGTTTGTCTTGCCTCTCCTACACGTGAAAAGAGCTTTTTAATTGCAGATGCTTTCATCATTCATCATTTTACTCTCCAAGACTTTAAACCAGTAGGTGCATTAATATGTTAAGTGGATTTTGGGGTAACTTGCCAATGTCAGCTTTCTGCACTGTTGGCTAAGAATCTAAGAAAGTTTGGGAAAGGCTTTGATACCACCCATTTTGTGATGAACTTTCTGTTTTATGTGCTGTTGGCCAAAGAGAAGTCTTATTCACGCTTACTGACTAATTATTTTCTTAGGGGATTTTGTAATTTTTGTAAAGTCAGTCGGAATATTAACTACATGGTAGTTGGCATAATTGTTAGGATAACACATTTAAAAATTAATCTAATCTAATGAAATGATGTCGAATTGCTGTGAGCAGCACTTTCCCCGTGCTGAACTGGGGAAGGAATGTAGCTTTCAACTCTGATGCACCTATAGATAATTGTTCTGTAGAGGGATGACAAGCTCTCTTGACGAGGGCAAAAAATAATTGGCATCAGCGCTGTCCTTGTAAGATAGCGGACATGGACTTCCCATCACTGATTGCGCCCAGATATGCCGAGCGTTAGACTGAACTGACTCCTCTAAGACCCCTTTCCGAAGGTTCCCAGCGTCTCCTCACCAGGCCTTGATTTCCAGCTTTGACTGTCTTCATTTCTTGAAGACCTCAGTGCTTCCCTGGTAACGTTTGAAGCAGCAAAGACTCCAGAAGTGTCTCCTAGGGTTAGGAAGTAGGCCCTGGGGAAGGGGCTGCTGCCGCCTTTTTTTTGTTTGCTTGATTTTGCACGCTTAATTTTTCACTTTTATTAGAGTGACTTTCTATTCAGGAATATTCAGTGGGAAAGTCTACAGACATTTCTCCCATTCTACCCTCCCGAGCTGTTCTCAGCAGAATCTGGTTTTTCAGCAGCTTGAAGTTGCTGTAACATTGATGTCCTGCAGATCCAGCCTTGACGGTGCTCTTGACGTTTGGGCATCAGGGGCTAACGGTGCTGGGATTGGTGCAAACTGCAGCAAGGAGCCTTTTTCCTTGAAGTGCGCTGTCTCTTAAGGCCTGGGGAGAGAGGCTGCGTCCATCGGGCTCCCTGGGGGAAGCCCCGCCCCAGTGCCCAGCACGGCGCCTGGTACTTGGTGCACACTCAATTATAATTCACTGGATGAATGAAAGAATAAATAAAGAGCTTTTTCTGTTGAATTTTTAATTTACAACCCCTTTTGTGGTTTGTGCGCTTGTATTTTTGATGAAGTGTGATCAGGGCATTTCCATTTGGGGCCATTACTGAGAAATCTAGTTGTGCTACTTGTAGACGAGAGAAAATTCTGAGGTCCTGTGGTGGAGGCTAGGGCCAGGCTTCAGAAGGGTAATTTGACAGGAAAGGTGGGGTCA